AATGAAATTAAAGATTAATGATTTTATATAAACCATGCTATTTAAAATATTAAAAAATAAATTTCTTATTATTTAATAATTAATTCTTTTTATTTTTTTGAAATTTATGATATTATACTCATTAATTAATTTAATTATATAATTTATACCATATCATTGAATCTAAATTTTCATTTCAAATTTTCGTTTTTCCTATCATTACTCTACAAAAACTCGTAAAATTCATCCACCCCAAGGTTGAGGAAGTGTTCATCAATGGCTCCCAAAAAGGTCGGGTTTGGATGAAGATCAACCCCACTGCCTCCCCAGAAAGTAAATTATTACTCTATTTATTTTAAAATAATATTTATTTTTTATATTTTATAAAAAAAATTATTTTTTGTTTTAATTTTATTATGATATTTTTTAATTTTAATTATTTATTTTATTATAAAAAATCTCTTTAATTTTATTTTTAGAATAATATAAGTAAAATATAAATTATCTCTTAATTTTAAATTTAAAAATAAATCAACATCTATTATTTTTAAGACAAAAAGAGTACTACGCTAAAAAAATTCATACTTCCTCTGTCTCTAAATAATATATATTTTTTGAATTTGATTAAAAATTAAAAATTTCTAGCCAATTTTTGTTTCACCAATTTTACCGTTTAAAAAAAAATGTCAAATACTATTCTAGTTTTCTCTCCTATCTCTAACTCCTATTCTCTATTGAGTAAAAGAGTAAGCATGATATCAGAGTTTTCATCTATGGTTTCCAACTAACAAATCCACCAATGAACAACATTGGGTGAAATAAATTTGAATGTTTAATTTTACATCAGCAATTCAAGGAATAAAGGTGTTGTTTGCATCTTAGGGAAAAAGAGGCAAAAATATGGGATAAGGACCTGAACTTGCATAAAATTCTCAATTCTAAACCCAAATTTCAATTGCACTCAATTAAGATCCTAAATTATGCAAAATTTTCAGATAGGGTCCAAATTAGATGAAAAATTAACTTGCCGTGAAATGTTAACTCACTAAGAGAGTAACGAAATTAACGGAATCGTAAGACATTTTTTTGACAAAAAGCTAATTTTCCATCAAATTAGGATTTTATTTGAGAATTTAGTGTGGTTTGAGACTTTAATTAAGTACAATTGAAGTTTGGATTTGAAATTATGAATTTTGTGCAAGTTTAGGTCCTCATCTCACACTTTTACCCAATTTTTTTTTTTTTTTACATTAACTACCGCATTAGCGATCATTTTGTCCATCCATTCTATACTACGATTTTTATGTTTTTATTTTTTATTTTTTAAAAATATATAAAATATTAATT